GCAGTTTCACGCCTTTAAATTAGTTCCTTTTTAAAAATATTATTTATATTACTCTGAGCTCTTCATCCTAAACTTCATTAACATTGTGCAGAGGGACGTCATTGTGCCATGGAATTCATATTCTTAGTAGCAAATAATCATGGGAAATATTAACAGTTGCTAGTAGATACAGCAATCACATCTCAGGGTGACACTGTAACATTTCCTATTTCTATTGCACTATTGTAATTTGAGTTCAGTGCTGACTGATTTCATGGGCTGGTCTCAAAACTCCTTCAGTTTGCTTTGATGCACCAATGGGGCTTGCCTTAGCCAATTACTTTGTCTCTGTGTCCAGCACACTATTGCTTTATCCCATGTCCCATTTGTGTGTAGAACTTGGTTCCCAAATACTCACTAATAGCCAGAAGTTTCAAGGTTGAAGGCACCTAGATACTTTGTAATATGCCACTAGTGGCCAAAATCCTTTTAAAAATCTGTCCATAAGGGCCTTAGAGTGTCTCGTATAAAATGGTTATCAAAAGGAAATTTCTATGGTATTATTTACTAATCACAGGTATACAACCCCAAGATCGATTGACAACCCCAAGAATTCAAACCCCATGAGTTATGCACCCAAAAGTCTAGAATTTAAATACAGAAATCAAGAAATTTTGTTTTTCTTTTATTACCTTGTTGTGTCTGAGCCTTTGGGGCGTACTAGCTTCATGCTTTTACAGCTACCCCTTCCAAAGGATCCATATATCTAGAATGGCTGTACAATCCTGTAACATTCGATGCCATTGTGCACTTCCGGGAACATGTGATATCCCCACCACCACTTGTAACTGAAAATTGATTTTAAAACCTTATTTGTGTGAGTAACCCCCCATCCTGCACACATAGAAGTGCACATCTTACTCTTCTGGGACTTCATTTATTGCATACGTCAATGTTGATTTTTCTACTGCATTGTTTATACTTCTAATGGCCTATTTAAAGTTCACAGCCTTTTAAGGATGCTACATTTTTTGTTCTGATACATTTCAGGGATGTTCTTCATTATGACAAATGTACTGATTTGTGCGGCCAAAGTCATTTTTTAAAATGAACTGTTCTGTTTCTCCTTTGCATTGGTCAGGCAGGAGGATGCAGTGCTCACCTCATCTAGTTTACCTTTTGATGAAACTAAAGTGCTTTGCCTCTTTTATGTTTTCACACTGGGATAGCTAATGCAGATTAGTTACCCCCTGGTATAAACACCCATTGTCTTATAAACACAGACTATACTGCTGACTTGGATGTTAAATGACCTATTATTGTTCATGGGCTGAAAACTCTGATACTGATTGTGTGCCTGTTACTACTGCTCTTTTGCCAGGTGTTGCATTTGAATGTCTGCACCAATTTGTGGGGGCATCATGGAAAACCGGTTGAAGCATTTGAAACTAAAGGAACTAGCAGGGGATTCCACTTCCCCCCTCCCCCCACACAATTTCTCTTATTTCCGTCCCTTTACTCATTGAGGGCTTGTCTGCAGGGTCTGACACTAAAGGTGTGAAGTTAATGCACCTAAGAGCTGGTCTACACTACGGGGGGATCGATCTAAGTTACGCAACTTCAGTGACATGAATAATGTAGCTGTAGTCAATGTACTTAAATCTACTTTCTGTGATGTCTTCAGTGTGGTGTGTTGACGGGAGATGCTCTGCCGTCGATTCCCCTTGTGCGTCTCGTTGAAGTGGAGTACCGGAGTCGATTTATCACGTCTACACTAGACACGATAAATCGATCCTCACTGGATCGATTGCTGGCTGTCGATCCGGCCAGTAGTGTAGACAAGCCCTTAGTTCAAGCGCTTTAAACCCCTGTGTGGACGCTCTCATTCAGAAGTCAGGTGGCCTTAATTTTGACAGTGGCAGTCAGGGCAACGACAGACAAGTTCAGGAGACCTCCTCCCCAATACTATTAATTATCAGGCCTTTGATCTCTTCCTGAAAAATTTTAAAGTTTTGTATAGTCCAAGTGTAACTGACATTAGCTTTTTGAAGTCCAAAGAGAAGGATTGAAGTAGTGAGGCACTCATCTCCCCTTCCCTGAGTGTTGTCTGGATAGAAACACCATTATGATTGTTCAAAGGTCTCAGTTTTGGCCTGACAAAATGTCAATAAATAGGTTAAGATTGAAATTTAAGGTGATCTCACTTGTTCTCTGTCTCCTGCACTAGTCAGGACATCATTGATGAGCAGCAGAATGAAGGCAAGATAGTTTCATGGTAAATCCTGCTGTATAGTGATTCCCTTTATAAGCAACATAGACAAAGTGGGAGCACTCTTGTCCCATGAGAATGAACTGATCTACATTTTTCATCCTTTAAACTGTAAAGACTCTTCTTTGAGCTCAGGCTCTCCCTGCTCGCTAAATGTTAGCTAAACTTTATCTCTTACTAACTAGAACTGTCAGGAAAATGTAACTTTTCTGTTAACCTCTGTCTTACATTTGGATGGTCATATCGGTGAGTCTCTGACTTTGATAGTCACAAAGGTGTGAGGACACACCCTGACAGGCATAGTAAAAGTATTTTCAGCTCACATAAAACATTGTGATGTTGTGTCTCAGCATATGTGCAAAATGCAAGGCTGATCTCCTGGCTCAAAAGCATCCAGGAATAGGGTGGGGCAGTTACTAGACATGCTCTGTATTTGTTACCAAAGCTGTATAGGATGGTTTCATTGGAGACAAGCCACCTGGTAGGTGGCTCCTTCTTTACTCACCTGATAGCTGAGGCAGTCAGAGCTTGGACGGGAGATCTGTGTTTGTCAGCCCTGTTTCACAGAGTCCCAGTCTTGGTGCTCTGGGACTGCTCTGAATGAAGCCAGGCCGGACTCTAGCGCAGTGCACCTCCCCTCGGGCACACTCTCAGCAGGGCAAGAAGCCTCCTCAGCTTCAGCACCTCCTGGGTCTGACATTGGAGCGTGCAGCACACCTGTTCACACCGTGAGCTCCCCGCAGGGAGTCCATCTAACTGGAACACTTAGGGAAGCCTGACACCGTGCCCCTTAAAGGGCCATACACCCCAGCTCCACAGTCAGCAGTGACTCTCAGCCAGCTTGGAAAACAGACAGGTTTGTTAATCATTGGGAACACAGCATAGAACAGAGCTTGTAGCACAGAAATCAGGAGCCTTCAGCAAAGTCCATCTTGGGGGAGATCCAGACTCTGGAGCCCTGGGTTCTCCCCACTGAGTCCCAAACCAGGAAACTGACCCGCTTCCAGCCACCCAGCCTCAATCACGCCCAGCTGCCCTACTCCGTGATTTGTCTCTTTCCTGGGCAAACAGGTCACCTGGCCTCCCCCTCTCTCTTTGTTCTCCAACACCCTTGCCTGGCTCCTTGCCGAGGATGGACTCTGGCCATCACTTGCCAGGATACAGAGTGTTCAGCCATTCTCTGTGCCCAGGCATCCAGTCTGCAGTCCCCCTGCCCTCTAGGGGTCTTCACAGTGATTACACACCCTTGTCCCAACACCTCAACACTTGAGTATCACATTGGGGAAACTGAGGCACACACAGTATTCCGAGAAAACATTAAGAAAATTCCCACTTTGTCACATCCTGGGATATCTGTGGGCTGCTCAGCACAAGAGCATGCTTCTGGCTGCTGTGTGGGAAAGGTTTGCTGACAACGCTGAGAACTGTTTTGAAAGGAAGGAGACCCTGACGTTCTTCACATCTGATGAACCCAGGTGCTTCTGCTACACATGGCCACATTACAGAGACAGGGCTAGATTCACAATGGCTGACAGGCACCCAAACCCCAGGCTAAACACATATATCTGGGATTTGGAGCCTAAATCCCAGTTTAGGCTCCACTGAGAGATACAAAACTCATGACGAAACCCCAGGTGCCAAAACTCAGCAGCAGCTATATTTTCAGAGTAAAAGTTCCCTGAGGGACATTAGTGTCTGCTGCCTTCTCCGGGGCATCTGGACCTAGATCTCGGTAACAGCTACCACTAGGAAATTGTGCTGGCAGCTGTTTGTGCTGTAACGCCAGCAGGAAACCCCGAAGATGGGGCAGACATAAGAGGTTTTTCCTACAGCTCAGTGATATGTTAACAGGGTGTCAAGGCTGCATCCCCACTCTGAACTTTAGGGTACAAATGTGGGGGCCTGCATGAAAACTTCTAAGCTTAACGACTAGCTTAGATCTGGTCCGCTGCCACCACTCCCAAAGTGCTAATTCCCTTCCCTGGGTAGCCTTGAGAGACCCTTCACCTCACTGGGGGGAGGGATAGCTCAGTGGTTTGAGCATTGGCCTGTTAAACCCAGGGTTGTGAGTTCAATCCTTGAGGGGGCCACTTGGGGATCTGGGGCAAAATCAGTACTTGGTCCTGCTAGTGAAGGCAGGGGGCTGGACTCTATGGCCTTTCAAGTTCGCTTCCAGTTCTAGGAGATGGGATATCTCCATTAATTTCTTTTAAAAAAAAAATCCCTGGTGAATACAGATCCAAACCCCTTGGATCTTAAAACAAGGAGAAATTAACCATCCCCCTCCTTTCTCCCACCAACTCCTGGTAGATCAAGATCCAACCCCCTTGGATCTAAAAACAAGGAAAATCAATCAGGTTCTTAAAAAGAAGGCTTTTAATTAAAGAAAAGGGTAAAAATCATCTCTGTAAAATCAGGATGGAAAATAACTTTACAGGATAATCAAACTTAAAGAGCCCAGAGGACCCCCCTCTAGCCTTAGGTTCAAAGTTACAGCAAACAGAGATAAACACTCTAGCAAAAAGGTACATTTACAAGTTGAGAAAACAGATAAAAACTAACACGCCTTGCCTGGCTGTTTACTTACAAGTTTGAAATATGAGAGACTTGTTCAGAAAGATTTGGAGAGCCTGGATTGATGTCTGGTCCCTCTTAGTCCCAAGAGCGAACAACCACCAAAACAAAGAGCACAAACAAAAGCCTCCTCCCCCCACCAAGATTTGAAAGTATCTTGTCCCCTTATTGGTCCTTTGGGTCAGGTGTCAGCCAGGTTACCTGAGCTTCTTAACCCTTTATAGGTAAAAGGATTTAGGAGTCTCTGGCCAGGAGGGATTTTATAGTATTGTACACAGGAGGGCTGTTACCCTTCCCTCTATAGTTATGACACAGGGCCTGACAAATAACCTCAGTGGCCTAGCAGGGACAACTCCATGAGCAGAACCCTGTCTGGGGCAGACATAAAGGGGTTTTGTCTAGAGCCCAGTGACCGGCTAATCTGGCCCTGTGAATCACCATAGGAGACTTGGTGGCAAAGCACTGGCAAGTGACACCTCCATGATCCGAGTTAAGGGAGCAGACCTTGTAGACCAGGCCCAAGGCTGGTAGCCAGCGAGCAATAGCCAAACTGCTGGTTGATCCAATCTCTTACCAGAGCAAATCACACACAGCATCACTGTCGCCGTGAAATGTGTCTCCTGATGTTCTGGGCAGCCTCTCTAGGACCAGGACTCCCTCACCCTAGAATCCCTGTTGATACTGGGGACTCTGAACAATCGTGGGTCTCCATAGAAATGCCCCTTCTCCCCCCTCCCTGGGATCAGGATGTCTCCTTTCATTGTCCCATTGACTCAGTGACATTTGTGGATGATGCCCCCGTAGAGCCGTGGCCTGGGGATGTGGAGGCTCTGAGGGGCAGGGAGATTTCAGTGGGATGGGTTTATTGGTAGGGCCCAGAAGGATCTGGAGTGGTGTGTCTTAGAGGTGAGTTCTCCTTCCAGGTCTTTTCTTCTTCTTCTTTTGTTCTTTCTGCTGGTCTCCTTCTTGGACCACAGTTTGTATAGTGAAACTTGAGTCCTGCTTAACTATACCTTAACCAATCATTTTACTAAAATTTTACTAGCCAATCCTAACATGTTGTACCAAAATTCTCTAACCAATCATACCCCACCCCCTTAATTAATTTACACCTACCAAAATCAATTATGTAACAAACAGAAACAATCAAAGAATCAGACAGAGGTCATCCACCCAAATAGTAGAGAAGTTGGGACCATAAAGACAAAACAATAAAGAAATGAGGATTTCACAACCACAACTATTGGTAAGTGGTTTCTTGACGGACAGAATGCTGTCCAACTAAGTTTTCTTTCACCATCTTAAGATCTGTTTCTTTATCTGGTGATAGTGGGGGCTATTGGGACAGGGTCTCCTTTTTAACAGCCTGATGTTACATTGGTTTAATGTAATTTAGATGGAATGTGAGGATGTGACTTTCTGCTTCTTAGCTCATGGCTGCAGACAAAGGCCTTAGGCCTCACAGTATGGCTATAGGAAAAGGCCTTATCCTTAGTGGAGTCCCTCATTCCCAGCAACAGGAAGGGAATCACACTCGATGCAGTAACTGGGCATTGCAGTGCGTAATCCCCATTCACAGCAAAATCCTGGAGCCCTGGCTGCACACAGGAGAGGTGTATAGTGTAAGGCACAGGCAGTAACATTCCTGCTGTGCCCCTGGAGCCTCTCCCAGGGCAGAGCCCCCGCCTGGCCAGGCCCCTTCCCGGGCCCCAGCCCCTACTCCCAGGGATGGTTCCACTTGGAGGGAAGGTAAGAGAGACCCACCCATTCCCCACCACCCCTGGAAGTGATGCCCTTTGGTCACCCATGGGGTAGGAGAGCATGAGGCACTGCCCCACCCAACAGCCAGTGGGAACATTTTTCCAGGAACTGGTCAAACAAGCATTGGGGGTGAGCAGGGGACTAACTCCTCAGGGCTCAGAAACGACAAGGCAAATATCCACAGGCACCCCCTGCCCCTCCCAGGCAGACACCCCCTGCTCTTATTATTTGATTTAAACATAAAAAAAGACACACTCATGATTTTGGGGTCAGTCTCCTGAGTGTTTTGGGCTGCCCAGGGCCCTGGTCTGATATATGTGCAGGATTCAGATCTCAGCCACACTGGTGACAGACCAGAGTCACTGCTGGGTATGGCAGGGGGTGAGTGTGGATGGGCCAATGAGATCAGCCTCTGCCTGCGGTTACCAGCTCTGCCTGTTACTTTGGGGTACACTCATTTATTAGGGTTACTCTTCTGGGGCGGGGGGGGGGGGTTTCTCTACTTCTATCAATGTACTGCTTGTGTCACTTGTGTTCTCATACAACGCTCTACTTCTCCCTGCTGCAATTCCCCTCCCAATGGAGCTATCCTGCAGGACCTAGATTCCCCAGGGCTGGGTTCCTCCAGCCCCAGAATCAGATGAGCGCGCACACACACACACACACACACACACACACACACATACATATACATATTAACAGAGCACGTCTGACAGGACCTGGTTAATCAGCACTCCCAAGCTGACCCCTTATGTGTCCCTGGAATCAGCAGGCTGGGTTGAGCAGCACCTCCAATCTCCCACCCTCATATGCCCCAGGTTCAGCACGTCCCTGTCTCCAGTTTCACGTTACAGTCGTTTTGGTAGTAACCCACTTGATGAGCAAACCCCACAGGATTTTTGGGTGCTGCAGGGATCTTTAGTTTAGGTACGAGGAGGAGCGTTGTTGCAGAGCAAATGGGGTAGCCAAAAACACCCACGGGAAGTTGGGGGGGGAGGGGAGAGGGAAGCAACCAGCTTAACCATGAAAGTTATTTATTGCCAGGTAATAACCATAGGGGAGCCAAACAAAACAGTTATAATATTAAATCTAACTTAAATTTGATTATAAAAGTCAGGTTGAGAAAACTATAACTGATCACACAAGTCATGGTAAGAAGGCTATACCGAGAGAGAGAGAGATGGGTTCTCACCACTCCATGATGCTTGCATCGATCGGGGATCCCAGGTGATGGTGTTAGCTGAGGGTCTGGAGTGCTGGAGACAGGCAGAGCCCCCAGCACGATCAGTCAGGAGAAGATGAAGTCCCAATGGAACTGATGCAAATTTTGGATCCAGGCATCAGAGCACTTACTTGAGCGTGGGTAGGGGGTTTTGTAGGGAAACAACAATGGTTCAAGGGAGATCACTAGATTTGTTTATGTGTAAACTGATGGCTCAAGGGCGTATACCAAAATTGTTTTGTTCAAGCTAGACAATAGGAACTCACCATTCCTGGTTATGGGTGGTGTTCCTTCCAGGGAGCTCACAATGCAATTAGGCAGCGTCAGTATTTTGGATACCAATAAAGGATTTATTAAAGCTAATGTTAAAAAAAATTACATAACACACAGGTTAAGAATAGAGTGTGTGTACATCTGGGTATAGTGCTTAGATTATCCACACATACAAAGTTCATTTTAAAAGTCAAAGATACATGAAGTACATAATTAGCAATAACTCAAATTTAGGGGAATAAATTTAACCAAACTGTTTAAATATTAGAATCCAAACACTGGTTACATCACTCATGAAAAGTTATACAGAGAGTTGTTTGTCGAAAGCAAATATATCAATGTGTGTAAATTGTCTCTCAGTAATTGAGAATTTGCAGGCTTGGATTCATTAACAACTGGAGCAGAGATTCCCCCATGCTGCATTGCTTCTCTGTTTTTCTGGTCCCAGAGTTCAGTGCAGTTCTTGCCTTGGAATCTCTGGTCTCCAGTCTGTATGCTAGTGGAGGTGCCGCCCTGTCCCATCTTCTATGCAAATGAGGCTACGGGAGTTGCCTTAATCCTGTCACCCTTGTCTGGACGGGTTTAGGTTCGTCTCCCATGTCCTTTTCATTACTTTCTTATCTGTCTTTCTTCTGACTTGGTTCAAGCAGAGGCTGGGGGGGGTCCTTGATTAGTCAGACAGGATGGATACTGTGCCCTGGTTAGGTAACACTGCCAGTCCCTGGGGGATAGGGGCAGAGTCCAGGGCAACTCGTTAATCGGGTGTTGCCACCAGAGGGCTCTGGTTATTGCTAAGGGAGAGGAGGCGGTTGGTGTGTGTCTCTCTCTGCTCAGGATATTAGAGTTCTGGAGTTGAGCTCCCTGGGTCCGAAGCTGCTGCCTCCTGTATTTTGACTTGGGAGCCCAAACCTAGAAGCAGAGGAGAGACCTTTGTTAAATCCCCTCTGTGCCCAGCCCAGGTGGGAATTTGCTGCGGTGGCTGGAACCAGCCCCTGGGGCAGCGCTGGGTTCTGCCCACACCAGCCCCTGTGCCGCAGCCTGCAGGTGATGGAGAGACCTGGGGGTAAAGGGCTGGGACTGGGCAGGAAAGTGACTCTGCACAAAGGGCCCATTTCAGGGACTGGCTGGTGAGTTTGGCCTACATGGGGAGGGGTTTCCCTGTGTGTCTGCGAGTCCCAGAGCTCCTGCCCCCATGGACACAGCCAGGTTCAAACCCCTGTTAGCAGTGGCAGTGACTGAGCTGCCTAATGAGAGGAAAGGCCCAGGACAATGGTGCAGTCGCTGGTTCTCCTAAGGGAAAAAGATAAAAAGGGAGAGAGGAGAGACTGGAAGGGGAAACCAGGAACAACAAAGGGGAGGGAGGCTCCCAGATCCCAGACCTGCCCGGATCCATTCCCTGCATCCCCCTGGGAACAAGGGGAGGAGCTGAGAGAGGAAAAGCCAGTTCCTGACTCGGCTGAACACTGCACTACTTGGGGGGGAAGGGGAGAGTTAGAGGGGTGACACGACAATGTCAGGGGCAATCCCCCAAGGTGGCTCCTTTGGTTCTGCTCTTTTTCCAGCATTGGGTTCAGAGACTCTCTTATGGGGAGAGTTTAAAAGTGCCCCGTGGGGTTTAGTTCTGCTGGGAGGGCCCTGGCCTGGGTGTTAATGAACTAACTGGGTTTCTTTCCAGTGTGGAAGAGTCCAGAGCGTCTGTCTGCAGGGAGAGAGCCTGGGGGGAATCGGGCTGTGACATGCACTCAAGCTCCTTCTGAAACCTTCCCAATCGCCCTGACAGGCTGAGGAATCACATCCAGATTTCACTCAAGATCGTCCCGTCTTCCAGGGGACAGGGAAGGGAAATGGCTGTGATGGAGTCAGCTCAGGTAGGGGATTTTCAGGGAGCTGTTGGACAGGGGGAGGGAGAGGCAGGGAGCAGACAGGGTGTGATAAACCTGCTGATTTTCTGAGTAGGAGGGGGCATACCACCATTTGTCAAAGAGGTCATAACCCTCCTGGGCAGTGCTGGGAACATTTTCCAGACTCCCAGTGCTGGAGCCTGAACCCAGTGGCCAGAGGCTGCTGTGAAATACGAAGGAAAGCTTTTGGGATTCCTGTCCCTTCCCTGGCTCAGTGCTCTGCTCTCTGTATCCGCCTGTGGCTGGCAAGTGTGCGGTAATTGGTAAATGAGAGGACCCTGCCCTGCTCCATCTGCTTTTGGGGGGACAAGGAAGTCTCACCTTCTCCCCGCCTCATGAAGACTCCTGGTGCTCTGAGCAGGGTGGGGGTGGGATTCTGTTACTAGGGTCCTCCCAGAGCTTCTAAGAAGTTTTTTTCTTTCTTCCTCTCCTGTGACTAGTGGGTTTGTGGCTGTGGCAGCAGGGGCTGAGTGGGGGTCTCTTGTTGTTTCAGTTGCCGGTGACCTTCGAGGAGGTGGCTGTGTATTTCACCCAGGGGCAGGGAGCTCTGCTGGACCCCAGTCAGAGAGCCCTCTACAGGGACGTCATGCAGGAGAACTATGAGATGGTGACCTCGCTGGGTAAGGGATTCCTGTCCCCTCTGTTATTAGAAGCCATGAGGTCTTCATTTCTGACTCTGCTCAGGTTCTCCCCTGGTCAGTTAGATTGGAGGGGAATGGGTTCCATAATGCGCAGCTGCCACATGAGAGAGACTTTCATTGGGACACAGGTGTCAAAAGCTAATGGACATGCGAAACCATGCCCACCCCTCCAGCATTTTGGGGGGGGCAGAAGTCATTCATTGTCCTGTCTGTATTGTTTCTTACTGACGCCCAAAATCCCTCTTCATTTCCCTTCTTGGGAATAGCTCCAGCCGTGGGGAAGACTCTGGACTCTGCAGATTTAGAAATAGGAAATGGTCTAACTCCAGAGCTGTGTGCGCATCAGCAAGGCCCAACAGCACATAGATCCTGGGAATTCCTTGTGAGGGCGTAGCAATTCCCCCCACCTCCCCAGACGTCTGCTTCTCCCAAGAGGGCTCAGTGATCATGTTCCCATCCTGTTGGATTCCATGTTCCCCCAGCAGGTCATGGGGAGAGGTACCACTCACAGAATGCCCTTTGTGACAGACACTCTTCCAATCCTCCATGCGCCCTGACCTTGTCTCTTTTCACTCCCTGTGCAGGATTTCCCATTCCCAAACCTGAACTGATCTCCCACCTGGAACGAGGGGAAGAACTGTGGGTCCCAGATCTCCAGGTCTGTGAGGAAAGAGAGATCCTGAGAGGCAGTCGCACAGGTGAGGACTGAAACAGAAACCATCTGGTGAATGAAGGAAAAAGTTGAGAATTCCAAAAATATGCTGTGAGTAAGAGCCCTTAGTTCTTCCTCACCTCAGCCAGGGCTGTAGTCAACAGATACCATTCACGGCTTTCCACGCGTCCTGTTAGCTGCAGGAGTTTCCTTCCCAACTTTCCATCCCTGGGAGTGTTTGGGTGGGATCTGGAGGCAAAATCCAGTTGCTCAGTCTTCACAATGTTAGCGTGTTGGGTTTTCCCTTGGTGCTATTCCTCTTTCTCCCCAGCACAATGACTCCTCTGTTGTCCCACAAACTTATACAGGATCGTTTTAGGGGTTAAGACAAAGATGCCACATTTATTATGATAACAATTTGATTTATGACCGATAACTAATATTTTAATTCTTATACACACACGTTATACCTAATACCTATACACACACACACATACACACACACATTTACACACACACATTTATCAGATGTTCTGCAGCTGCTGCATAGTTACCAGTCCTGCTTGAGTCTGTGGCTTGAGTTTGCAGCTTGGGTTCGTAGCTTGTGGCGGCTAACTGGCCAGGAAAGCCGGGCACAAGGACGAGCTGGGTCTCTGTTGGGCATGCACCGATGCCCTTCTATGTTGGCAGCAGAATGTTACCCTCCTTCAAAGTTTTCCATCTCACCCATCCTTTTTGTAGGCTTTAGTTTGAATCCAGAGTCTATAGGTCTTGTTGAGTCACGCTGCCTCTGGGTTTGGTGATTGATCACCCGTCAATTGCAGACATGACTTTCAGCCTGGGACCTGGCTTTGATCTTCCTTCTATTGTACCTTTTCTTTTTAGGGTGGATTTTTCTTACTTTGTTAGGGCTCTTATCTGCATCTTCAGCCATTGGTGTTTGAACTCTGTTTAATCAGGACAGGCTGGGGCTGGAGGTTGATTCCATCAGCCATACATACCTCATTCACACATCTAAACTAAACTAATAAGATTACAGCAGGGTTTGCAAAAATGAAGGTTGCAGCAAGCCCTTACGAAATGAAGTAAGCTTTTTAAAATGGGGTTTGAATTACAATATGGCAAACAGTGAACAGAAGTTACAATATAGACAAGTATAACAAATGGTGAACAGAAGTTACAATACTGAAACAGTGCAAGTCTCAGTGATTTAAGCAGGAATTGGATTAATAGTAAAACTTACAAAGGCAGCTGACTGAACTGCTATGGCTCTTAACAAGTATCTGAACTGTTAATTAGCCAGTTATTGGGGTAACCAGTTTTATGAATGAAAATTGTTTCATTCATAAAACTTTATTTATAAAGTTACATTAATAAAGTGAACAATTAAAAACAATTTCATTTATCAGTCCTACACCTGTCTGGATTGTCTCTATCTCCCAGCAGGTGATGAGACAGTGGATGAGAAGAAGGATGGGAATCATCATGAGGAAGTTCCTGGGCAAATGGAACCACAGGGGACCTTTGTGGGAAGAGCTGATGGGAGTTTATCCCAATGCTTGGAAGAGGGAGAAGCCTGGGGAAATTGGCACAAGTCAGAGAGGCGACTGAAAAACCACTCAAGGAAGAAAGTGGATGAATCTATTATATGTGGGGGAGGAGACAAGGATCCCACAGCCCAGCAGACCAATCCTAAGGAAGAGAAACCCTATCAGTGCCTCGAATGTGGAAAAGGGTACATTTTCAGATCGCCGCTTGTGACACATCAGACAATCCATACTGGAGGGAAACCCCTTCAATGCTTGGCCCATGGGGAAAGCTTCAATAACTGCTCAGATCTTAATAACCATGGGAAAAGCCACATGGGAGAGAAAACCTATCAATGCCTCGAGTGTGGAAACTGTTTGAATTGGAAGTCAGCATTAATTACACATCAGAGAATCCAGACAGGAGAGAGACCCCATAAGTGCTTAGACTGTGGAAAAAGTTTCATACGGAGGTCACACCTTGTTAAACATCAGGCATTCCATAAAGGAGAGAGACCCCACAAGTGCTTGGACTGTGGGAAAAGTTTCATACAGAGGTCAGACCTTACTAAACATCAGGCTATCCACACAGGAGAGAGACCACATAAGTGCTTGGACTGTGGGAAAAGTTTCATACAGAGGTCAAACCTTATTAAACATAAAGCAATCCACACAGGAGAGAGACCCCACAAGTGCTTGGACTGTGGGAAGAGTTTCATACAGAGGTCATACCTTGTTAAACATCAAGCAATCCACACAGGAGAGAGACCACATAAGTGTTTGAACTGTGGAAAAAATTTCATACGGAGGTCACACCTTGTTAAACATCAGGCAATCCACACAGGAGAGAGACCCCACAAGTGCTTGGAATGTGGGAAAAGTTTCAAACAGAGGTCACACCTTATTAAACATCAAGCAATCCACACAGGAGAGAGACCACATAAGTGTTTGAACTGTGGAAAAAATTTCATACGAAGGTCACACCTTGTTAAACATCAGGCAATCCACACAGGAGAGAGACCCCACAAGTGCTTGGACTGTGGGAAAAGTTTCATACAGAGGTCAAACCTTATTAAACATAAAGCAATCCACACAGGAGAGAGACCCCACAAGTGCTTGGACTGTGGGAAAAGTTTCATACAGAGGTCAAACCTTATTAAACATAAAGCA